ATTTCTTGTAAGATGAAATGCTTATTTCTATTAGAAAATGATGACCTCGCCACTGACCCAAATATGTATCCACCATGAACAACACACCTTGTAATTGTATTCCACATGAGAAATCAGTTGTTATATTTATTAAGTACTAATTTTTATAAATTTTTAATTTATCTTACCAAATTTAAAATTATCAGGAAAACAAGATAAAGCAAAATTGCAAGATTTTCTAAAGGTTTTTTCTAATTACGTAGAAACTCTGAATTTATGATAGGTTGGGTGAACATGTGCATGTTAGTTAGGTCTTTTAAAATTTAATTAAGAATAAGAGCAATCCTAATATTTTATTTTTGTCGAGCTCGTTGGAATCTTAATGAAGTTATAACTAACAATTCATTTATAGTAATCATCACACTTTATTGCATGAACATCCTCTCTTTAATGTTTCCAAAATCCGAAAAAGGTACAAATAGCTTCCTAACTATTCATAGCGTTGCAACACAAAAAGTGTGAAGTTGCGGAAAAATTATTGCGTCCTCCCACCTGACGTAGAGATGCATCCTCCCACCATCAAAAAACTCGGTTTTTGCTCGGTATTGCTAGGTATTATTTGGTAATAACGAGGAATATCATCATGTGAAGACCAATACCGAGTTATACCGAGCACATACCGAGTTTTCTCTAGGAAAAACTAGGTATCTTTTTGTATTGCTCGGTATAGCTCGGTATAACTCGGTATTGGTCTTCACATGATGATATTCCTCGTTATTGTTTGGTATTGCTCGGTATTTGCTTGGTATTTCTCGTTTTTAGTGCGATTTTAGCTCTGGGAGGACGCATCTCTACTTCAGGTGGGAGGACGCAATAATTTTTCGATGTTGCGATGCTCAATATATAAAGTGACAATAAAGTTGTGTGACTTTTATGCGAAAACACACCCTTTAAATACTATATTTTATGACTTAAACAATTTATATTATTGTAATTATTTTGTAGTATTAAGTGGCTAATACTTGAGCTCATTTCTTGTTATAATATTGGTATTTGTTGTATGGCTATCAGCCTACATTTCCTTTCCTATTGTTTTTATCTATAAAGTTGTAGCTTTTAGCATTTACATTATTACTTGCATTTGTGTATCACTCTGCTTGGACATGTTTATATTATGCTCATAGGTAGGGGTGTCAATATTTGACACGACACGAAAACCCGACCCGGAAAATTCACCGGGTCGGATCGTGTCAACCCGGCAACCCGCCAGGTCGGGTCCGGGTTCGGTTTTCCGACCCGTTTGTCTACCCGGGTCGGGTTAGGGTAGACCCGTTTGAACCTGGGTCAGTTCCGGGTTCGACCCGAACCCGACCTGTGACCCAAAATTGACACCCCTACTCATAGGAATGATTTTCAAGCATAAAAGCAACTAATCTATCTTTCTACTAAACAAATGAGGATCTTACCATTTTTTTCATAAAAATAACATTGAAATGAACCACCTTAGTCTATTTGTAACTTGGGAACAGAGATGCATCTATATTCAGGCTTCGTTTAGAACAACTTTCTTACTATTTTGTTTTTTCAAATACGATAATGATTTCTGTTTGACCATTGCTTTTTCACAACTTTTAAGAAATTTTTTGTGCTTGGAAGTTGCTTTCAAAAAAGTTATTTTCTCTACAGTAATTTTATAATCACATTTATAAAAAGTTGCAGTCATTCCAAATAAATCCTTATTTTCGTATCTCCAAGTTACGAATATAGGATCACCTCAACATAACCTAGTCGAGTCTCATCATATTGCAGATTCTCTAGTCTTATCATATTGCAGACCCCTAGTCATGTGGTACTTCTTTTCTATCAATCTAAGTATCTAACATATTCTCCATTGAGGCCTACTATCGTGACTATTTAAATATGTCAAGTAATTTTCTCCACAAAATAAATCTATTTAGATTTGAGAATCAATGCACCAACTTCTTTGATGTTGTAAATTTTAAAAATTGAATTTAGAGTTGTCAACACTACATCATCGACAAACTTATACTCAAACAGAATATCTTAGTAGGACAGACCTAATGACAAATTAAGCTCTTGATGCATATTTAAAAATTTTAGGATATTAATTGAAGGGTTAAACAATCTCTAAATCTTGTATGCTTTTAGTTAAATCGAGCATCTCAATGAGATGAATATAATGAGCTTAAGTTTACCCGATTCTGAGATCATTAATGCATATAAATGCTAAATAAACAGGATATGATCAAAAGATTCAATATGGGTTATCAAATAGCATCATGAAAATTGGGTCAAATTTATTAGAATGATAATTTTCAAAATTATGTGCAAATCCTCATTCTTTGTGTGAAGGTGGCCCAGATTGAGATTAGATTGAGCTTTGAGGTTTGTACTACTCAAGAACTTTGCTTAACGTTCAACAATGACAATTATCACCACTGTCATCATTATCTGATTACCATCATTGAATCGTTGTCACATGATTGCTTTTAGCTAGATCCATTGCTCTCGACGCTCAACATCTGTCCATTGTCATCTATTGCCATAATCCATCCACCATCATTCAACCTTTGTCATCCAGCTGCCGTCGCCCTATTACCTTCGCTTGACCATCATCATCCAATCATTATTGTCTGAATGTTTAATTATTATCCATTCACTATATACTCCTACAATCTCTACTATACTATATATATATAATTTTTGTGTTGGAAAAATCACTACCACTATGATAGAGAGAGTTTTATGTCCACAACTCTGTAATTCCTTCCATGCGCTCACAAAATTAAAAAAAAAAAAAAAATTCTTACATGTTTTGCATATAAATAAAATCTATTAAAACAAAAATTAAGCAAGAAATAAAACTTCTTATTAACAATCAAGTTTCCATGCCATGAGCCTCGCATCCCTCCCCTTCTTTGGCCTCCATCACTTTCTTCCTATCATAAATTCTGATCATCACATCCTTTCTCACCCCATTATCTTTCTTACAAGAAAAAGTTCTCTTCTCCTTCTCCTTCTCCTTCACACTTTTCCTCTTCTTAGCTTCCTTCTTGTTACACCTCGTACACTCTATGAAGGCTGCAAGAAAAGGATCATCATCATTGCTAATCTTCTTCATCACTTTCCTCGTCGAAGCAAACGGGCACGGCGGCAGCGGCACGTATATGTTGTGGCGAGCAAGCGGACGGCGCTGTGATTCTGTCGTCGAGGAGCATGGCGGAGGCGGCAGCGACGGCTTCGCCGGTGAAGAGCTCTTGTTTGTTTGGCCATGAATGGCCTTTGAGATGCCTGGTAGATGCTCCCATAAGAAAGGGATGGTGCCGGAGGAAGACGAGGAATGCCGGCGAGTGTCCATGGCGGCGAAGGAGAGGGGATTTAGATGCAGGAGAGGGAGCATTGAAGGGGTAATGCTTAGTTTATAGGGTAATGGTGGCTGTGTTTTTTCTTGAGGAGGTCAAGGAAGATAACTATTTTTTCAATATGTAGACCTTATTTTTTTTTAGTATTTTTTAAAATAATTTGACTTGTTTTAAAATAAAAAAAAATTAAAAAAAATAAAATTACTTTTATTTATTATAAATTATATATTTATGAAAATGTAATTAGTATATTAACTATTAAGAATAATAGAAAATATCTTATATTTATAATATAGCAAATAGCATAGAAATGGAGGCAATTGACTGAGTCTAATAAGGTGAACTTTATGAAAATTATTTATCATGTGCCCCTTGATGAAATACAAAGGGGAATTTAGCTATATGGTTTTTTACTCTATTGGTCAAAATAAATAGGCAAAATAAAATTGAATATCTTATTATCTTTACCATTTTTTTTTTCTTTTTTATTTGTTTCAAAAGAATAATAGTGTAGGCTTGAATCCTGTTTTTTTGGGCCTTTTTCTAAGGCTTCGTTTGGGATAGTTTTTTATCATTATTTTTTTTTATACTTTTAAGAAATTTTTTGTACTAAAAAGCTGTTTTAGAAAGTATTAAGAAAGTTGTTCCAATAAAAGCTTAAAAGGCTATTTAGTTTGCTGATATTGCGTTAAGGCTTCGTTTGTGATGGTTTTCTTATTATTGTAAGCAACAGTAAAAAAGCTATCCCAAATAAAGCTTAAGTCTGTGTTTCAAATAAAAGCTTCTTCGTCCTGTTTTTAAAAATTCAATTAAAAAAAGTGGTTTGAAAAATTTGCCGAATTTAATTAATTGATATATTCGAAAAACAATCTATAAGAATATATTTTTTTAAAATAAATGGACAATTAGTTGTTACAATAATTTTATGCTCTTGCTATTTTTCTTGTCCATCCTTGCATTTGTGGTCCAATGGAAGAATGAAAATGTTATTCATCCCCCTCCCCACAAAAAACCAAATCTATTAAAATATCACAATCAATGCACCAACTTCATTGGCAAGTTCATAACTCTAATTTAGGTGGAATGGTTTTTTTATTATTTTCTAACGCAGTTTTTTTAGTAGAAAAATTTCTTTTGAAAACAGTAAAAAATTAGCGGTTAAAAATTATCCCAAATGAAACATTTATTACTATTTTTAAAGTATATTTTTAGCTGAAAATTTTTCTTGAACTAAAAATTTAATAGTAGAAAGTTATTTTAGAAAATTTAATAGTAGAAAGTTATTTTAGAAAGAGGTAAAAAAGCTGTCCCCGACAAAGTCTTAGGCCTGGTTTATTTTCGCATTTTTTTACCTTTTCTATTTAGAAGTGGCGAAATTATTTTTTGGTCGCTGTTTAGAAGGGATGCTTCTATAGAAATGCTTTGCAGGGAACTTCATTTTTCTACTGTTTGGAGAAACTTTTTGATATTTGTTTCTCCGTTAGAAATCTCCATTTTCTTAACTAGTGTTTCTAAAACTACCTTTTACAAAAGGAGAGGAAGAACCAAATGAAGCCTTAGTCGGCAATTAAAAGCCTAAAAATTCAGCGAAAGAAACTGAAAAAAAAAAATAATTAAGCACAAATCAACAATCATAAATTTAATATCAATCCATAAATCCTTCATATTTTGTTTCATTTCCTTTTAGCTTTCTTCAATCCATACAAAGCCTAAGAATTACAAACAACTCAATAATTTTGTCCATACTTTCATAAAATTATGAATAAAAAAATATAAATAATATTTTCTCACAACTTTTAGCTCATAAACCAAATCTATTCAAGAAAATAAGTAAAAAGAGACAAACTAAAGCTCTTATTAACAATCAAGTTTCTTTGCCATAAGCTTTCCTTCCTTACTCTTCTTTGACCTCCATGAACTTCTTCCCATCATAAACCCTAATCATCACATCATTTCTCACCCCAATATCATACTTACAAGAAAAAATCTTCATCTCTGTCACCTTCTTCTTCACACTCTTCCTCTTCTCTTTCTGGTTATTTCTAGTGCACTTCTTCAAGGCTACAAGGAAAGGATCATCATGATCATCCATCTTTTTCGTCCCCCCTTTCTTTGCTAATGATAACTCTTGCATCGGAACGAAAGGGCACGGTGGGAGCGGAACGTAAATGGAGCGGCGAGCAAGCGGACGGCTCGACGAGTAGATTGTCGACAAGCATGGCGGAGGCGGCAGCGAGGTTGCCGCCTTTGAGGGTGAAGAGATCTTATTCGTTTGGTTGTCTGTGACCTTTGAGATGCCGGGGAGATGCTCCCATAAGAAAGGTATGTTTCCGGCGGAGGAGTGAGTTCGCCGGAGAGTGCTCATGGTGGAGGAGATGAGAGGTGAGTTGGAAGAAGGAGAGGGAGGGTTATAAGGGAATGAAGCTTGTCTTTTTTTTCTTGTGGAAGTCAAAAGGAAGACTAGCCGTGCGTGTGAGGTTGTTTGATGGAAACAAAATTGTTTAGTTTTATAGAGTAATTTTCAAAATAGTTTAGCATACTTAAAAAAAATAAAAAAAATCTGAAATACAGATCAAATATATATTTAAAATAAAAAATAAAATAAACTCATTACTAATAAATCTTTAATATCCCATTAATTAAAATCAGCACATAACACAAAACCTTTATTTTTTTAAACTATTAAATATTTTTTTTATTAAAACAAAATAGCTATGAAATTAATTAGTATTAAAGAAATGATGTCAAAAAATATCTCTATCATAAATAAAATTTAGGTTGGATTATAATATATAATAATAATAGTTATTATTATTATTATTTTGAGAGAGTAGAAAAAAATGCAAAGGGTGAGCATTGACTTGGTCTAATGATGTGAACTTTATGATAACTATTTTTTCAATATGTAATTTAGAGTAATAAATGAGGGGTTTGGATGTCATTTTAAACTTTGTAGGAGGCATTGTTTAGGTCAAGGTCAATGGGTAAAATGAAATTTAGGGGCATAATAGTACTTTCATGATCCTTATCTATCTTAAGGAGACTTGGTGAATTGAACAATAACCATCTTTTTATTATTTATTATTATTGTTTTTATTTTGGAAGAATTATATTTTTAAGGGTTGAATTGTGTCTATGATGTTTTTAAAAAAGTTTGATTATATTTTTGAATATTTTTAAGAGATATTATGAATTTAATTTATTGATATTTAGATAGATAATAAAAAAGATATTTTTATATCTATTTTAAATTGATTATATCTTAGATGCATGTCGCCTAAACAGACACGACAATTAGTTGTTTATTTTTCAAAAATCTTGCTCTTGTTTGTCTTTATATTTGCTTTTGTTCATGCAGATCAAATAATATTAATGCATATCCTCTTTTATAAATCCGTGCTTTCTTTAAAGTTGCTTCTTCATCACGTTTACTTATATGTGATAGTTCTGTTTGTGGATGACACCTATCTACTAGTATGCTAATTTTAAAGAAATAACTCCGAAATGTATGAGAATGAAAAGAGAAGTCCACTATCGAAGATATGTATTAACTGTCTTGAGATGCCAAAAAGATATAAAATAGTCCAAAAAGATCTAAATGTTTTTCTTTTACCTTTTATTTATAGGTTTCAAGAAAAGTTACATCTATATATAATATATACTATATATATATATATATATATATATTATAAAACATTGGTTTGATGACTCTTAAGATTACTACCTAAGACATGTGCCGCCTCATGTTTGACTAAAATGAGAATAATGTTGTATAACCTTGATGACCTACCTATGGGCAAGTTCAATGGTGTCGAGTAGGTACGGGCGAGTCTGCATGGCAAGTATTGAGTTGAAGGGGCCTATGACTAGTAGATGCCTTAGAGTTTTCTACCTGACTAATGTTGGAGCCTTATATCCCTTAAGAAAGGAAAGCGAGTGAACTGGTGTTGCAAGAAAGATGAGCTCTGTGGTTGGATGGTCCTAGGAGGGCAAGCTGAGAGCCCCATGAGTAGGTGTATTCATATTGTTGAGATTAACATGCATGAATGAGGTGCCCGACCTAGATGAAGGAGAGTAGATTTGATGACCAATCTTCCTTCATGAGGAAAGTGCCAAGTCTCCTAATTTATGTGGCCCTCTTATTCCCTCCTCTACATTTACAAGTGAGAGGGATTTAAGAGCCCTTGGGCAAGTTCCTTTGTGGCACCTACTGATTTTGGGTCTCTTTTTGTTGACATGCTGAGAACTTGCTAGGTATTTAAAAGGCATATGCAAGTATACATTTAGTTCTTTGATTCACTTTACCTTCTTATTCTTCATAAAGGAGATTAGAATAATCGACCCTAAACATATCATAGAAGAGTTGATGAAGATGAACTTTGCCTTCAAATCATGAACCTTTTTCACCAATTTGCTAGTCCTCATCACTATCAAGGAGAGCTTAACACATTTATCATTAAACATCTTCACTGTGAAGATATGAAAAAATATCATCAAATTTTATGGTAACTTGTGCATTCAAAGAAAGGAGATGAACAAGATGATGCTCACCACCATGTTAGGCATCATTTTGGCATGTATGAACTCAAAGAAGTTAAACACATTCATGAACTCCCTATAGATTAGCATCCACAACATGATATTGAAATAATCGTAGAGTATACAAAGCTCATCTTTATAAAATGTGTTAAGGTGCTCATCCTCATCAAGAGCCCTCACTCGTAGTTTCATGTTGTTGAAGCAGTGCCTAATAAATGACATGTCGACAAAGCTAGGGTCATGGTTCACGTAATGGCTTAGATTTTGAGCTCCCAAACACATATGCCATTAAAACCTAAAATCATGCCCATATCTCCATCACTTCATGGAGATTTTGATCACTTCCCCACACTTAACATCATGTGAAGTCACCATCATGAGAAAAAAAAAATAGTTGTCTCCTACTAAAAGCAGTACATTCAATCTTATTTTGCATTGCAAAATATCTCCTTAAATTCACCTCATTTTTTCTTGTAATCGCCATCAACTCACCACATTGAGTGTTATACTCAATTCATCACATGCAAGTCCACATCTAATTTTTCTTAGCATAAAAATAAAATGTCAAATCATTAGCTTGTCAGTAGTAAGGACTGTTATGAGAGGAACAAGGTATTCAACACACATGATATTATAAAGTTGCCATAATCATATAATGGAAACTAAAATAAAACATTAGTACAAACTTGCTACATAGGTACACAAGGATATTGAATTTTATCACTTAGAACATTTCCCTTAGATTACATGTATTCCTCCCACAAATCGACACCATAGCCAATAACAAAATATTAAAAAAAATTATTTTTCATTGTACTAATTATTTCTTTGATCGATAAGATTGGCGTTGGTGAATCCAATAGAAAAAAAATTATTGAGATGAATGAAAAGTAAAGATTCAATAATGGAGACTGTAATGATGAGTGAATGATGGAAAAGACACGCAAAGTTGGAAATGAAGATGTCTGCTCTAATCATGAGAAATGAAGATTGGGATGGTCTGCATGAATTAGGATTTAATTCTTTTAATTTAAATGTTAAGATAGTTGACTATAGTATCTCATGATGTGCCAAAAAATTATAAAATTTCAAAAGTTAGGGCAACCTTTCAAACTATCTTAAGGAGACTTGGTGAATTGAAAAACCATCTTTTTTTTTTTTTTGAAGAATTATAGTTTAGGGTTGAATTGTGTCTATGAGGTTTTTAAAAAGCAGTTTGATTATATTTTTAAGAGATATTATGAATTTAATTTATTGATATTTAGAATAGATAATAAAAAGGATATTTTTATATCTTATTTTAAATTGATTATATCTAGATGCATGTCGCCTAAAATCAGAACAAAATTAGTTGTTTATTTATTCAAAAATCTTGCTCTTGTTTGTCTTTATATTTGCTTTTGTCATGCAATCAAATAATATTAATGCATATCCTCTTTTATAGACATGTGCTTTCTTTTAAAGTTGCTTCTTCATCACGTTACTTATCTGTGATAGTTCTGTTTGTGGATGAAACCCTATCCCACAAGTATGCTAACTCTAAAGAAATAATCTCGAAACATGTGTGAGAATGGAATGAAGAGTCTACTATCGAAGATATGTATTACAAGTGTTTGAGATGCCAAAAAGATATCAAATAGTCCAAAAAGATCCTAAATGTCTCTCTTAACCTTTTATTTATTGGGTTTCAAGAAAAGCTACATCTAAAATGATAAAAAAAAAAAATTGGTTTGATGACTCTCAAGATAGACTACCTAAGACATGTGTCATTTCAAGTTTGACTAAAAGGAGAATAATGTTGTATAACCTTGGTGACCTACTTCTGGGCAAGTTCAATGGTGTCGAGTAGGTACGTGCAAGTCTGCAAGGGCGAGCCCATTGGCAAGTATTGAATTGAAGGGGCCTGTGAGTAGTAGGTGCCATAGAGTTTTCTAGCTCACTAATGTTGGAGCCTTAGATCCCTTAGGAAAGGAAAGCAAGCGAACTACTGTTGTAGGAAGGACGAGCTTCGTGGTTTGATGGTCTTGGTAGGGCAAGTTGAGGGCCCCATAAGTAGGTGTTTTCTTATTGTTGAGATTAACATGCATGAATGAAGGTGCCCGACCTAGATGAAAGCGAGTAGATTTGATGACCAATCTTCCTTTGTAAGGCAAGTGGTAAATCTCTTAATTTACGAGGGCCTCGTATTCCTCCTCTACATTTACAAGTGAGACGGATTCAAGAGCCCTTGGGAGAGTTCCTTTGTGGCACCTAATGGGTTTGGGCCTCTTTATGGTGATTTGCTGACTACTTACTAGGTATTTAAAAGGTATATGCAAGTATACATTTAGTTATGTGATTCACTTGATCTCCTTAACCTTCATGAATGGGATTAGGATAATCAAATAGTATCTTATGATGTGTCAAAAAAATTATAAAATTTTATACATTAGGGCAGCCACTACAGGACGCTGTATAATGCGCCGGAAATTTCTGGCGTCCAAATAAACGACGGAAATTTCCGGCGTCCAAATAAACGACGGAAATTTCCGGCGTCTAAAATGCTGGTCTATTCCGACGTCTTTTACCGGCACAACAGACGTTGGAAACTCTCCGGGGCCATATGCGCCGGAAAAAATGCCGTAAACGTTCCTTCGCACGATGCGCCGTATTTGCCGGTGCAAATTTTTCCGCCGGAAAATTCGATGGTAATCGCGTGTTCCCGTAGTGAGCCTATCGAACTATCCTAATATAAATCATGGTTTTCATAGCTCCCATAATCCTCTTCACACTAGAGGAAGTTGTTAAACTAGGTAAGGAACATTATCTAATTATTACCTTCTTAATTATTTTCACATAAAAATTTGACTTATTTTTTGATAATTTTAACATATTGTGTATATATAATCAAAAGAGATTAATGCTTCATTTGGAATAGCTTTTGACCCATACTTTTTTGCTGCTTGTAATTAAGAAATTTTCATAAAAAAATTATTTTAGAAAGTAATAAAAAAACTCTCATTCGAATCTAAGACAAAAAAAAAAAATCCTTATGCCTCTCCTATATATAATCTTTAGCATTAATGGTTTTTTAGGTTGGGCATTCAGTCAAGCTTTCAAAGGCTGAAAATTTTAAAAAATAAACGAGCTATGTATTTTAGTGTTGCATACTTGCATGACAAAGAGCAAATTTAATGTCAGAGAAACACAGCTATCTGATGATAGCACGGCTATAAAGACTTTGATTATTAATCTGTCTCACTTGGAAATTAATGTGGTAGGTTTAAGAAAATTACAAGTACTCTATGTCAACAAAACGTGGACTATATTATTGCATTGATTTATGTGGTCAATTCCTTGCCTTTATATATAATGTTATGGATGATGGAGATGACATATACATGCGCCCCTGGACAGGCACAATAATTGGACCTCGTAATGTATAAATGGTTTACTTTGAGCTAGGGCTGCAAGCAAATCAAATGTTCGACAAGTTACTCGTTGTTTGGTTCGATTAAAGCTCGTTTGTGATCGTTTAATTAACTAAACAAACAAATTTGAACAACATTTTAAATACTCGATTCTTAAATGAACAAACTTGAACACTAATGCGTTCGGCTCATTTATGTTCGCGAACAACATCATTTGAAGTTCATGAACAAGCTCGACATTAAGCTCGATGAAAGTTCGATTCATGTTCGATTTTGAACTCGTGAATAAGCTCGATAAAAATAATTAATATTTGACTATATAATTAATAAATAGACAATTGCTTTTCTTATAAATGTGTTCGTTCATAGATATATTCATGAATTTGTTTATTTGATAGTTAAAAAAATTCGTCAAATATGTTCGTGAACAAGCTCGATAAGCACTAAACGAACGAACATGAACTGAACATGAACCGAACATGAACACTCATTAATTTAATTGAACTAAACACGAACACAAACAATAAAGCTCGAACAAACATGAACCAAACTTGAACAAGCTGATATTAAATAAACACAAACATGAACACTCACATACTCGGCTCGGCTCGGTTCGTTTGCAGCCCTAATTGTGAGACCTGAAATTTAGGGAAAATAGTTCTGTGTAATTATTTTCCTATTTTCTATTCTTAACAAAAGTTTATAATCCATGTTTTAATTATTTAGCTTATTAAAAGGCTTTGAAGGTCTTTTGATGTGTGATAATTTAAAAATAATGATTTGCATTATTTTCTTTAATTTTAAATTATTTAAATAATTTCAAAATTTCTAAAAAAAATCAAGAATATTTTTTATTGTTGATTGTTTTATAAATTACTCAATTTTTTTCTAAAATTATATGAGGTATTAATCTCATCTTAGTTTATAATATTATTCATTTAAGCATTTAATTATGAAAGATATCTTAAATGTCTTTGAAAGTTTTGTTGTTTAAACCAATCATTTCACTCCATTTGATACAATCATGTTGATTTCAAATTTTTTATTTTATAAATTCATTTTATACTTAATTTTAGGGAATAGTTTATAAAAAATCAATAATTCAGCATTTTAATAATTTTTTCAAACATATAGTTTTCCTAATTTCCTAAAATTAAAATATTTCCAAGGCTTTTTTTTTTTTTTTAAATTCTTTCATTTTTAATTTCCATCATCGAACATTTCTTTCAACCCTACAAAAATTTATTTTAGAATTTGAATTTATAAATTTTAAAATATAAATATATCAATCTTCAATTTATTTGAATCCCTGAGATGAATTAAACCCAATACAACAATATTATATCAAGACTCTTACATTTTATCGAAGGATCCTCTTGATGACTTTGTGATAAACTGCAAAGATTAATTTTTTTTAATAAATTTTAATAAATTGATAGTTAAATTTAAAATTAATTTAGCAAATAAAAAAATCTTGAAATTAAGACTCTCTAGCCAATTTTTTAATTGAAAAATACTCTTATTCATACACCTACGTGTATGAAAACATAAATTTTTTATACACCTAAGTGTTCTCTTGGTATACTAGATAGTAGTTGTTATGGCCAAGATAGGAAGTCCAATTGCCTAATTTTAGCTACGTAAGATTGGGCAAATTATTACGTGCGGCGTCTGTGAATTCGGGCGCGCTACATCACCCCAACCCCAGTGCATCCTGGTGATGTGGTACGTCTGGGTTCGCCTCCGGATGATTCGAACACTGCATGTAATAATTTACCATAAGATTGAGGCTTTGTTTGGGGCAGCTTCCTTACTGTTTTCCAAAATAATTTTTTAGGATAAAAATTTTGAGTTCAATAAATTCTTATACTACAAAATTATTTTAGAAAACAAGAAGAAAGTTGCCCCAAACGAAGCCGAGGTATGTGATATTCTTCTTGAAACTAAGCACTTTCGTCCCCTCAACATCATTCTTCCTCCAACCCTCTTATGTTCTTGGGAAAACTATTAGGTCCGGACACCGGACCTAGAAATAGGTATGGATATCCAATTAAAATTTACTATGTGGACTGTGCTTTTTGACTGAGCTTTGAATGTGCTTTAAGTGTGCTTTACCTGCACTTTACATGTGCTTTACATGCGCTTTTGACGCGCTTGAATTAAACTTCCGCAGACACGTGTACATTCCGCATGTCAATATTTTATTGGAAACCGAATATATCTCTACATCCGGTGTCCGGACCTAATAATTTTCCATGTTCTTGCCAGTTGCCACTGCAAACCACCATAATCTCTAGTGGTTATGAATCACTCTCATGACTTTTGCTCTAGTGTCTTCAAGCTCCTGAACATAATTATATGGCCTTAATCAATCCTATTTTGGAGCTTACAAACCAACTCCTCTCCACTCTTGTTAGATCACCTTTGAAATACTCTAAAACCTACACAGCATGCAGACCAATTGGCTCCTATTAGGGCCGGGTCAAAGTTTACGAAAGCCTCATGAAAGAATTCTCCCTATTAGGAGAAATTATTCTGTGCAGAGACCGGACGATCAAAACCGTCCGAATTTATTGCACTTTAGTTGTGCGCTATTGCAAATACTCATCAAATATGCAATTATGAATGCACTTTTGCTGCGCTTTTGCAAATACTCGGCAAAAGAGCAGCTAAAGTGTAGCAAATCCAGACGATTCTCACCGTCTGGTCTCCGCACATAATAATTTATCCCCTATTAGATTCTTATACTCCAAACACTCAATTTTTGTTAAGTGCGATTGAAAGTATTCGACAATTTTGGCATGGAACATTATTTATGCTTAACAGGCAATCCATCTTTACCTAGATTGGGATCCCCTTTTGGTTTGACAAAGATAGAAGTCGACCTAGACTTCAAAATCTCCTACAACAATTTAGGGGTGTCAATATTTGACACGACACGACAACCCGACTCGGACCTAACCCGGAAAATCAGGTTGGACCCGACCCGTCTGATAAACGGGTCGTGTTCGGGTTCGCAGATTTGACCCATTTGATAAAACTGGTCGGGTCGGGTTGCCGGGTCCCGGCAACCTGAAAACCCGTTTAGATCTGGGTCGGGTCGGGTTCGACCCGAACCCGACGGGTTGACCCGAATTGACACCCCTACAGCAATTGCTCCAAGCCTACATTGTGGAGCTCTGGGCATCATCACTCCCCACCTTCCTGCCACTCGCATTCAATTTGCACCCTAAAACTCCTAGATTATGCAGATGATGGGGTAAGGGGAATGCGACAGAGAGATTATTCTGTGCAGACCCCGAACGCAGCTTTACATCCGAATACCAATCAGAATGAGCCACATCAGCCATATCGAGCTGCGGTACTGACGCTCGGTGCCGTGCCGCGCGCTTTAGGCATCCGGACTGGTTCTGCTTCCGCACAGAATAATTTTTCCATGCGACAAATCTATAGCTCATTCGATTGCCACGTTTGGAAAAGGGTTAAATTTGTTCTAGATTCCATGGTGTGATAGCTAAGCAAGAAATGAAACAGCATAAAACATAACATGCACCCAGAGAAAAAGCTCATAAATGTGCCAACCTAAACTATCCAACTGTGTTCAGTTGCTGAGACAGTAAAATAATTGCGTGAAAGAAAAAAAGAAGAAGAATAAAAGACTTTGGTCAGGGTTACATATAACTATCTAATAAGCATCTATATACTTCAAATCAAGTTAAGAGAAACTGACATTACATGAATAGGCGCCCACTCATTGGGTTTTGATATTCTTTGCAGCAACCTTGATGTTTTTGATACTTTGATTTGCTGGATTGTAAGGACTTAATCCTGCTCAAAATAAATATTCAGGCAATCATCAGTGTAATATGTTAATGAGCTTGGAAAGTTGTAATAAATGAAACAAATATATCAACAAGACTACTCATTTCCTACACAATGAAAAAATTTTCATCACTTGGTAGGTAATTCCAATGTTGTGTTGGTAGGTGTAACATAGTGTGCAATACAAACTAAAACTGATAAATGAAGGTGATAACAGAAAAGCTTATTAGCACTTTGGTTTTGACGATGACAACAACGCAACAACATCAAATCTTCATCCCACTAAGTGGGGTCAGCTAAAGGAATCATGTAGCTGACCCCATGTAGTGGGACAAAGGCTTGATGTTGTTGTATCTTTTTTATAAAATTTTGTAAGTTCATGTATTTTTTTATTTTTCTGTTTAGAGGCTTACGCCTCAATTCCGACTTCACCTTTTAAAGGTTGAACCAAACAATTAATATTAGTTCTCAAAAAGTGAAACCAAATCAAAATTTTATGAAAAAAAAAAATCATTATTGTTCAAGTGCCCTCTAAGGAATGGGGCTACTTAATGTCTGAAATGTTAAACCCCACAAAAGGCGCTCCTCATATGCAAAGTGAGGCAATGATAAAATGTATTATATCATTTACACAATTATCTTAATTATTAAAAAACAATTTCGAGAAGTAAAAAATCATTATCCCATGAAATTATGCTAGGAGAAATAATTAATCTTCAATTTTCATTACACTCCAAGCAAGAAAATCTTGCTAACCATTCTAAATCTATATAGTTTAGATAATCTTAAGGTACATGGTGACCATTCAATCAAGCCTAATGGAATTAGTACTAGTCTCTAACTTCAATAGGAAATTGACAATCCAAATTCAATCATCTTCAACACCAATCAAAAAAAAAATGTAACAGCCTAATTCAGATTACAACAACAAAAATTTCAAAGCGTAAGGCATCCATCTATCACCTCAAGGGTATATGATTATTCGGCTCCAATATTGTCCTGACCCTCCACCCTCCGATTGATTAGAAAAGGTACCCCTCAACCAGAAGCATTTCCTTTCAAAAAGAATCTCATAGATGAAATATCTCCATCCATCATCCATATCGCTAAAAAAACTAAATTACCATCCACCATAAGCACGATAAATCCCCCCCCCCCCCTCAAAAACCCCCCCCCCCCCCTTTTCTCACTTCTTAAGATAAAAAACATTCCAAAATCTCTTTATCTACTGAAGGACCTATGGAACCACTCTCATCCTTTTCTTTGAACTCACTTATGACTTGAACATCAGAGTATTTTATAGGAAAAACACTCCTTGATGTTGTGTGTATGCATGAAGTAAGCACGCACCTTTTTTATTGGGCTGTGTACGCAAGAAGCTTCAAGTATTGTCTAATACAATAATTTGGTGTCGTTTGTGCGAAAACTACCTACTTTTCGTAGATTGACTAACTTATGGCCAAACACCATGATATGTGAAAGATCTCACACACCTTCATCTCAACAATAGAACCACTCGACAAAGCAAGTAGTGTGAACTGTGAAATCATGCAGCAACCCTGCCTTTTATGCAACAACAACAAGTCTTTATCCCACTACATGGAGTCAGTTATATCAATTAATTTTCTCTATTGTGTCCATTAAGAGTCAAATTCTCATTTAAATCTAATAAGCAAATGTCACTTATAATGCTTTATAACGACACCTCTTTAGGTCTACCTCTACCTTTCTTAACATAGGTTGTATCTAATGCATCTACTCTTCTAACAGGATCACCAAAAAGCCGACACCTTATGTGACCAAACCATCTAAGAAGACTCTCTCTAATCTTATCTGCCACGAGAGCTACTCCAAGCTTTTCACATATATACTCATTTCACATTCTATCTGTAAATGTAAAGCCACTCATCCACCTAAGCATCCTCATCTCTGCTACACTTAACTTAATTGTATGCTACTCTTTTAATGGCCAACATTATGCACCATAAAGCGTCGCAGGTCTTACCACCGTTTTATAAAATTTTCCATTAAGTTTGAAGGGTGCACTTTTCTATCACACAAATAAGCCCAATGCATTCCTCAACTTAAACCATCCAACTCTACCTTTTATGCATTCAAGAAAAATACATCAAAATGGCCAATATGCTCCTTTGGAAGATTGAGTATGATAACTTAAAATAAAATGCCTTCTCAAGAATCCAATAAAACGAGATTTTATATTCCAAAGCTCCCAAAAATCATTATCCCCTCAACTCGGTGTTCGTAGAAGAATGTAATCCCAAGAAAACTTGTATGGTGGCTTAATGTCCTCAAACCTAATTTCCAACCCTTCCACCAACTCAACACATCTATCTCCAATAAATTAGCAGTTTCCAACACTCCAGCTCATTCTAAAGAGGCAAAATATATGCTTTTATCACAAAATAAAGGCCTTTCACCCAACCTTCCAATGTGAAAAATTGTGACGCCACATTCATGAAAAGTTCCTCTAGGGAAGGAATTATTGAATCAACAACTTTCTCAACAACTTCACGAGGCCTCCCTATTTTCAATAATCATATTGGGTCATCTTATCCCTACGAGTTTTAGGATACATGCTATTAAAATTTATGATTGGACTACTAATACCTACAAGCACATGGACTATCATGAAGCCATTATGCATATTCAACAAGCAGCATAATTGCTCTTCTATCAAGAATTCCTCACAACATTCGAGGAGAAAACCGAACATGATTTCATTCCCTTCCCCATAGCACCATCAACGCATTTACCAAGTTCGCTAGGCTCTTAATTACAAACTCAACCCTAGTTGATGAACTATGAAGGATTCCTTTCATCTATCTGACATCCACCAAAAAGTGAAAGAATTACTAAAGAATTGTTTCCTAAGATTCTCAATTAAAGAACAACAAATTATAGTAGTCAATATAGAACTCCAACCTAAGTAAAAAAATTTCCTTGATGGGCTCCACCTCAAACCACTATATTCAATGTTAATGTGCAAAATAGTCCCCACTTACAAGGAACCGATCTATCGTGTTGAGACCCAAATTGTTGCTGATGAGATTATAGACACATCAACAACAATTCACTCAAAACTCCAACAAAACAAATTAAGTCGGTGCTCTCTACACTAAAAAGACTGTTAATTTTAAAATCAAAATTTTCTAAACTACTGCAACAAAGAACAAAATGACTTCAACAAAATAGCAAACACTTAAGATTCTAATATCCTATAAACTATAAATTATGAAAAATATGACAGTAGCCTAATTCGCTAAATCCAAACTCGATAAACCAGACCTAACACGACGACTTCTGTCATAGTTGCGAACATACCATTGAGACATATCATCAACTAAAGAAAAAGTTTGAGAGAAGATCATTTACCAAAGTAACCCTAATCAATTCCTACAAAATTAGATCACACGTGCAAAGTTTAATAAGCATGGGGACCCAACAAAACTACTACAATTAGGGAAGCAAATGGTGCGTTAAATTGAAACCAACATCAAATCCACCACCACTCGTGAGATAAGACTTCCTCATAACTACTAAGAAGTTGAACCCAAAAATGTCTCACACTGGATATTTCATTAGCTTTGATGACTCCAACCTTGAAATTGTACATAATCCACATGGATCAACTGGTCATGAAAGTTGAGATTAAGCAAAGTCAATATCAAGAGGATACTAATAGACGAAGGAAACTTTTTCAATGCCCTTTCCTTCTACATATTCCTCATCATCATCCTTACAAAAAAAACACTACATCCCAGCACTGGACCACTCTATGGCTTTGCCAAACATCCAATAAAGCCGAAAGTGATGAAGATGATTAAAGGTCTAGGATTTCCATGATTAAACTGCAATTCCTGAATTGCTTATGAACCAAACAAACGAAGAAAGAAAAAAATGTGAGATACAAAGCAAGAGACGTTGGAATGCAAAACTGCAACTTGTGTGATTAAATTAAGAACATCAATTGCAGCAAATGATGGTTTAAATATAAGAAGGCGGCAACAATATAACGGGATAATAGCAACAAAGGCAAAGAATTGATTAAGATGGCACAATATATCGAGAAAGACAGGCGTTAGCGTTAAACTAAGGCATGACATCAAAAATAGGGAAGAAACTAATAGAACTAACAAACATGAAAACTATTGATATGCCACCAATAACGAAAATAATGGATAATCAATGGAAATAACAAATGTAAAAGCATTAACTACAACAAAGTAAGATGAACAGAGATTACCAATTCACTTCATGGCAGTGATTCTAAGCCAAAGTGTTGATTGGAATTTCATAAGCTTAGTTAAAACCATGTAATCAAGATTTAGACCTACTAGGCTTTCAAAATACTAGGGAACACATCATGTGTTGATTCACACATGCTTAATAAAAAGGTAAATTGTTTTATTTAAATTTTTTTGTAAATTTTATTCAATAAATTTTCAAACACTAATGATACCACAATACCACATGATGCCGAAAGAGAACAATGATCAACACAGGTGATAAATAAAAGGTTTTAAAAGCAACATTCATATAAGAATACATAATAATTTTACGTGATTTGGGATGTAGCCTACATTCATGCCTTGTGTCCATCACAACTAGGATTTCCTGCACAACCTCCGCTAAACAAAAATCATTACTCCTTTGACAAGTGGAGAAGCCTTTATACCAAGCTTCTTCCAGGACAACCTCCCCTTTCACGTGAACAACTTCATTCACCAGGACAACCTCCCACAACCATTCTCAGCCAAAAATATTCCAAGAAAATGCAAGGGAATCAATTAGCAATCAATAGCTTAGAAATAAAAGTTCTTACATGCTAATTTTCAATGGCATGTATAAGTCATATAAACCACATATCAAACTTTGAAGAATGATCTCATGGCAAGCAAGCTTCTTAATCTCTTCAGATGATCCAAGGAGAAAACTCACATAAATTTTGCAAAAATGACTTGATGGCCTGTTTTCTCAAAGAGGTT